TGATGATGATGGTGATGCTGATGATGATGCTGATGATGATGATGCTGATGATGATGATGATGAAGAAGATGCTGATGATGATGATGATGATGATGATGGTGATGCTGATGATGATGATGATGATGATGATGATGATGATGATGATGCTGAGGAGGAGGAGGAGGAGGAGGAGGAGGAAGAGGAGAAGGAGGAGGAATAGGAGGAGGAGGAGACGCAGGAGGAGGAGGAGGAAGATGACGATGACGATGATGATGAGGATATGAGGATATGAGGATATGAGGATATGAGGATATGAGGATATGAGGATATGAGGATATGAGGATATGAGGATATGAGGAGGAGGATATGAGGAGGAGGAGGAGGAGTGAGGAGGAGGAGGATGAGGAGGGAGGAGGAGGGCGAGAGGCGGAGGCGGAGGCGGAAGGCGGAGGCGGAGGAGGGGAGGGAGGCGGAGGCGGAGGCGGGGTGGAGGAGGGGAGGGGAGGAGGCGGAGGTGGAGGAGGAGGAGGAGGAGGAGGAGGAGGAGGGGGAGGAGGAGGAGGAGTGAGGAGGAGGGCGAAGGAGGAGGAGGAGAAGGAGGAGGAGGAGGAGGAGGAGGAGGAGCAAGAGGAGAGGACTGGGAAGAGGGAGGAGGAGGAGGAGGAGGGGAGGAGGGGCAGGAGGTGCCGGAGGAGGAGGAGGAAGAGGAGGAGGAGGAGGAGGAGGGAGGAGGAGGAGGAGTAGGAGGAGGAGGAAGGAAGGAGGAGGAGGAGGAGGCGCAGCAGGAAGAGAAGGAGGGCGGGAAGAGGAGAAGGGTGCGGAGGAGGAAGGAGCAGAGAGGAGGAGGAGGAGTGAGCAGGCAGGAGGGGAGGAGTGAGGGAAGAGGAGGAGGAGGCAGGAGGTGCGAGGGATGAGGAAGAGGAAGAGGGGAGGAGGAGTAGGAGGAGGAGGAGGAAGGAGGAGGAGGAGGAGGAGGAGGGGAGGCGGAGGAGGAGGAGGAGGAGGAGGAGGAGGAGGAGGAGGAGGAGGAGGAGAGGGAGGGAGGAGGACAGGAGAAGGAGGAAGGAGGAGGAGGAGGAGGAGGAGGAGGAGGCGGAGGAGGAGTGGGAGGAGGAGGAGGAGGAGGAGGAGGAGGGTAGAAGGAGAGGAACGAGGGACGAGGAGGAGGATGAGGGAGGAAGGAGGAGGAGGAGAGGAGGAGGAGGAGGAGGAGGAGGAGGAAGAGGAGGAGGAGGAGGAGGAGGAGGAGGACGAGGAGGAGGATGGAGGAGGAGGAGGAGGAGGAGGAGGAGGAGGAGGAGGAGGAGGAGGAGGAGGAGGAGGAGGAGGAGGAGGATCGGCGAAGAGTCCAAAGGGGAATGCAGAGGGGCCGCGCCTTCTCAGAAGGCTCGGAAGGCCTCTGGCCTTGTGAGGAGTTTTCTAGGCCTTATCGGCAGACAGAGACGGCATCGCAGTCTGGAGGGCTTCCGAGAAGCCCCGTCGCCTTTGAGAAGGCTTGCCCCTTCTCACTTCCCCCTCAGGCGCGCCGCCGAATGCGGGGCTCAGCCAGAGTGCTGGATCCTGCAGGATCCCGTAATGCCGGATTTGGGCCGAGCCAGGTTCGGGAGCCGCTGGCGGCTCTGGAGGTGGCTTCACATGTCGGCCGAGCAGGGCTTGGGACGCCCCCCAGAAAATGCGGCGCAGTTTCTTTCTGAATCGGTTGAGCCGGATTTGCGCTGAGCCGGATTCGTCCACGTCTGGTCGCTTTTCACCCCTCTCCTTCTTAGTCTTCCAGTTGGTGAGAGTGAGGCGAGGGTACAGGTGCAGGCGAGCGGGTGATTTCTGGCCTCCCGCGGAAGGGCCAGAAGAAAAGCACCGTGAAGGTGTGGGACTTCTTCGAGCCTGGCAAGAGGATCGCCTCCTCTCTCTCTCTCTTTCTCTCCTTCTCTTGCCTCCCCCCGCAAAGACATCCGACGATACAGCGACATGACTGCTTCAATCCAGGGCCCCAGAGTTCTCGGCCCTTCACCCGGGAGCAGTCTTTCGTCCCAGGTCAGCTTTCGATTGCCCCAGGGCTTGACAAAAACAGCCTTTGGAGTCAGTGAGCTTGTCGAATTCAGCATTGCCCTCGCGAGCCCCGATCATATTGTATAGTCGTTTTGGGTGCTTCGGCCCCGCCCTGCAGCGCCCCCGCGGCGTTCCACGCAGGTCGCAGTTCGCAGTTCACAGTTCGCAGATAGATGAAGAACGCTGATGCTGACAAGTTCAATCCACCGAAAGTCTGGATCTTCCCCCTCCCGTGCAAGAGGATCACAGCCCTATTCACCGTGAACAGCAGCGGACGCATGCGTGTCTGGAAGAACGGCGAGCTGGCCGCCGAAATAGACGGGCACGCACCGTATTTCAACGACAGGCCGCACCTGATGATCGGCGGCCACTACCTGTACAAGAAGCACCGGGGATCACAAAGCTTGGGTCGGCGCTAGACCCCCCCCTGCTTGCACAGCTTGGCGGAGGCACCGTTCCCTTGCGCGCTCGGCGCGACGGGGAAGCGCCGACCCGAGAACTCCGCACGGACCTCCGAAAATTTCTGTTCCTGGACATCCGACTTTGTGCTTTTCCTCGCCCGCGCAGCTCCCGACCCCTTCCCCGGAAGAAGATGCGCCGCGGAGGCCGAATTCGTCGAAAAACGAAAGGATCGACCAACAAGATGTTTTCGGGTGCCAGCCGCCTTGTGATGTTCTGAGGCAGTTCTTCCACGGCGTCATCGGCAACGTGAAGATCTGGAGCAAGGAGTCGTTGCGTGATATCCGACCTCGAATCAAACCTTCGGGGTTGGTTTTGGAGGTTGCCGCGGATATCGTGGCCGCCACATATCGGAGAGAGGTTTTTGTCAAGGAGTGGCACGCCCCTTCCCACCTACCTCCCGCTCTGCAATGTAGACGTGGCCCACAACTCACAGCATAGCGACAAGGAGTTGCCGATGTATGTCCAACATGGGCAGTCATTTTTTTCGGTTATGGGTCGATTATCACGCAACCGAAGGAGGTTGTCTGGCCGCCAGCCCCCGGCATGAAGCCCGCCAGCCTGGCGAGGCCTGCCGGACTCGCCTGAGCTCCCCCCCGTCCCCTTCGGCGCTGGGGCCCCCTGCTGTGCTCTTCTCCTCCCCTCCTCCTCCTCCTCCTCCTCCTCCTCCTCCTCCTCCTCCTCCTCCTCCTCCTCCTCCTCCCCCTTCTGGACTTACTTCTGGACCTCCCTCCCTCCCTCCCTCTCCGTCTCTCCCCACCACCACGCGGGCGGGGCTGATTCGTGGGTCAGGCCTGCCAGGCCAAGGGCACCCTTCTGTCCTATGCCTCGCGCAGCGTACCCTCTGCTTTCGCGGGGCAAGGGTGACCACCCTTGTGTCCTGTGATCTCCGCGGATGTCGGGGGGTCAGCTCGCGGCGTTCTGGGCGCGTCGCGCCGCGGAGAGGCCCCAGCGCTGGTGTGTCCTCTCGGATTCGGGGCCCACTTCGCTTCGAGGTAACATTTTGATGATCAGCACCAGGCACAGAAACGAAGAGCCACAACCACAACCAAGGGGATTTTTCGGGAGGGACCTTCGGGGAAGAACCCGCCGACCTCTACGTGAACACATTGTTTGTGGTTGTGGTCGATTGGCCGTCCTGTGCTTCCACATCGACAATAACCAGCACTGAGCTGGCTCTGGTGTTCCGATGATAGGTGGCATGCGCAGGACATCGCCCAGGGCGTGTCCTCGATGTGGTTGTGGTCGCTTGCTGTCTTCGCACAGATCCCCTCGCGTTTTTAGTAATTTTGATCGAGAAGGGTACGGAAAGAATCGCGACGAAGACTGACAGCAGCTCTTGGCCACTTCGAACGGGACTCGCTGTCGGTGTCGTCCACCCTGTGCAGAGAGTCGCCTGCGCAACAGCGGCGGCCGACGGTTTTTGAAAACATAACATGCGCTGTTGAGCGTCCTGTTTTTTCGTCCGCATCCACTCGAGACAGTTGCTTATACCTTGGCGATACCGGGCGTGACCCGCGGGGGGGGGCGATTCGTGCCCTCGCTGTTTGGGATATTAAGACTGGCCACTTCCCAAAGGGCGCCGGCGCGAGGGTGGCGTGGCCAGTCACGTGCGTCGTCGCGAACAATGAGAAGACTATCCTGGCGAAGGACCCAACCAGCTGCAGCTGTGTGTGTAACGCAGTTGTGGGTATCGTCCTCGGTGAGCCTTTCGCTGGGGCCGCGACGCGTGTGATGGGTGTGCCAAAATTGGAACGGGTACGCCATGCGGACGCTGCCAGTGCAGCCCCATGTGAGGCCACGAAACGTGCGAGGGGTGCGCCGAAATGCAGGGTGGAACCACGTGCGGGCGCTGCCACTAGGGCCTTTCGGGGCCACGAAACGTGGAAGAGGTGCGCCGAAATGAAGGGTGGAACTGCACGCTGAACCTGCCACTGGGGCCCTGGGTGGAACATGGGGCCACGAAACGCGTGAGGGGTGCGCCGAAATTGAGGTGGAACTGCATGCGGACCCTGCCACTGAGGCTGGGTGGAGCACCCTATGGGGCCGAGGAACGTGAGAGGGGTGCGTCGACAGGGGGGGTGGAACTGCATGCAGACCCTGCCACTGGGGCCTTCGGCGGAGCACCCTATGGGGCCACGAATCGTGTGAGGGGTTCGCCGAAATGCGGGCGGAACTGCATCTTGCCACTGGGGCCTTGGGTGGAGCACTCTATGGGGCCACGAAGCGCGTGAGGGGTGCGCCAAAATTGAGGTGGAACTGCATGCGGACCCTGCCACTGGGGCCTTGGGTGGAGCACCCTATGTGGCAACGAAACGTGTGAGGGGTGCGCCGAAATGGGGGTGGAACTGCACGCGGGGCCACGAAACGTGTGAGGGGTGCGCCGACATGGGCGTTGAACTGTATGCGGACCCTGCCACTGGGGCCTTCGGCGGATCACCCTATGGGGCCACGAAACGTGTGAGGGGTTCGCCGAAATGCGGGTGGAACTGCATGCGGGCCCTGCCACTGGGGCCTTGGGTGGAGCACCCTATGGGGCCACGAAACGCGTGAGGGGTGCGCCAAAATTGAGATGGAACTGCATGCGGACCCTGCCACTGGGGCCTTCGGCGGAGCACCCTATGTGGCCATGAAGCGTGCGAGGGGTGCACTGGAATGGGCATGCGAGAGAGCAGAGGCAGGGAGGGGAGGAGGGATGAGGTGAGGTGAGACGCGGGGCGCTGTCTCTTCAAAAAACGAGGACCCAACACCACAGGATGGTTGGGAATCATTTCTCAGGAGCAAAAGGAAAACGACACGCACACGAATCCGCGCTGATTTCGAAAGTGCGCTTTGCGCGAACGTTCGTCACACGAGGTTTGTCTCGCGGACTGGTGGGCCGCTTTCATGTATGTACAGTGCCTTTTTTAATACATGCTCCGCGTGCGGATCATGTAATCAAAATGCAGGGATTTAGTAGTAAAAACAAGGATGAGTTCATGCATACATTGATTCATAACTTAACCATGTATTAAACATCACATATATATAGATATCAAAATCAGATTTATTTAAAAAGAAAACTGCCCTGTAATTATATGCCTGCGTCCTTTGTTCGGCGGCGAGCGACGGGGGCAAGTGAGAAGGAGGAGGCCTTCCCAGAAGGCTCGGAAGTCTCTCAGCCTTCTGAGCAGTTGTCCACGCCTGCCCCGGAGGACGCAGAGAAAACCTTCCCAGAAGGCGCGGAGGCCTCCGAGAGGCCCCGCCGCCTCCGGAGAAGGCCTTCTCCTTCTCGCTTCCCCTCCTCGCTCGCCGCCGATTTGTGGGCTCCCTCTGCTTGTCGGACATGCCCGGCGTTCAGTCCGGCGTGTCCCTCTACAGGAGGAGTATTCAAAAGTAGTCAAGTAATGGTCGGGGGGCGATTTTTTTCTTACCATGTTTGACAATTGTGGTGTATTTTGTGATTATGTTCAATTAGTTTGTCGTCCAAAATCCGCCTGTAGGGGGACACGCCCGACCTGAGCCTAAACTTGTCGGACGTGCCAAGCGTGCCAAACCTCACGTCGTGACGCACAGCGCGGCGGGAGGCTCTCGACAGCACCGGGGGGGGGCCCGGGCCCTCGCTGAGCGGCTCGGAGTGCGCGGGCAGCTCCCGTGGTCTGCGCCAAAACGGCTGTATACGGATTGTGGATGCGACGGCGCCCCACGCTCGTGGATGGGTAGGAGGAGGAGAAGGAGGATGTATACGGGAGAATCTAATAATAGAAAGAGCGTGTTCTGCCGCTGCTGGCGGAAAACCGGGGGGGTTCACTGGGGGTTCCTACAACCCTTCCCCCCCCCCCTCGAAAACTGGGGCGGGGTCACTACCGGTTCGAACCCCCCCCCCCAGTCCATCATGAAAAGGGGGGGGGGTCACTACCGGTTCGAACCCCCTTCCCCCCCCCCCCGTCGAAAACCGGGGGGGTCACTACCGGTTCGAACCCCCCCCCCCTCGAAAACCAGGGAGGGGTCACTACCGGTTCGAACCCCCCCCCCCTCGAAAACCAGGGAGGGGTCACTACCGGTTCGAACCCCCCCCCTCCCCCCCCCTCGCTGCAGGCAAACGAAACGATGCCCGCTCCTGGGGACAGTTGGAGAATGGTGTGGATGTTGGGACAGTGGTGGGAACGGTGGTGGTGGGGACAGTGGTGCGGTGCGGGGACAGCAGGACAGTGGCGCGGACAGTGGTGGGGACGGCGGTGGTGGGGACAGTGGTGAGGGGACAGCGGGACAGTGGGGACGGTAGTGGTGGGGACAGTGGTGAAGGCGGTGGTGAGGACAGTGGTGGGGCAGTAGTACAGTGGGGAGAGTGGTGGGGACAGTGGGGACAGTGGGACAGTGATGGGGACAACGGGGACGGTGGGACAGCGCAGTGGCACAGCGGCGGGGACAGTGGGACAGTGATGGGAACAGTGGGGACAATGGGACAGTGGTGGGGACCGTGGGGAAAGTGGGGAGAGTGGGACCATGGTGGGACAATGGTGGGGAAAGTGGGGACAGTGAGACACTGGTGGGGGGCACTGGTGGGGACAGCGGGGACAATGGTGGGAACAGTGGGGATAGTGGGACAGTGGTGGGGACAGTGGTGGTGGGGACAGTGGTGTGGGGACAGTGGGAATGTGGTGGAAACAGTGGGACAGTGGAGGGTACAGTGGTGGTGGCGACAGAGGTGAGGGCGGTGGCGAGGACGGCGGTGGGATAATGGGACAGAGGTGCAGTAGGGACAGTGGTGGGGACAGTGGGGACAGTGGTGGGAACAGTGGGACAGCTCAGTGGGACAGCGGCGGGGACAGTGTGACAGTGGGACAGTGGGGACAGTGGGACAGTGGTGGGGACCGTCGAGAAAGTGGGGAGAGTGGAATCGTGGTGGGAACAGTGGTGGGGACTGGGGACAGTGCGACAGTGGTG